TGGATGTGTAATTGTTCTTTCTTTCTTAATTTATTTCTGAGATTCCACCTCCTTTTGCCGGGCCCCTCCCCACTCTGTGTGCTCGGCAGGACCAAGGGAAGGGGTTTTTAGGATGGCCATGAAGAGCATATTTGTAGACATTTATTATATATCCAATGGAGACAGATTTAAGTTAAAATAAAGGGAGGATTTGATGGACCAAAGTTCAGAGGAAGAAGAGCATGAAGAGAAGAAAAAGCAGAAGTAAGAGGAGAAAAGTAGGAGGGGATCCCATCACAAGCAGGCAACAGGTTAGTTTTGGAAAAAAATATATGTTATTTTCTTCTAAGACTAGATGAAAAATTGAGAATGTATGACAACGTCGACAAATAAGCAGTGGAGATAATCTGGAGATGTTGATGTCTGGTTCTATGAGAGCGCTCGATTAGCTACAAGGGCAAAGGCAGGAAACTGACATTGAAGAGACTTACGGTAGCATGAAGGGGGAGGGAAAGTGAGGTGATGGGAAGTACACACCTGGCATGTACACCTGGCAGCACAGGTACACTCTGTCTCCACTTCTCATAGGCTCAGGGCACAAGCAGGGCGATAATCCCCAGAGCTGAGCCACGGTACTGCAGGAGGGAGAGGTCTTCATCAGGCTACTCAAGAGTCAAAATTAAAATAGTTTTGCCCCAGACTAGGAGCAGGAGACAGTGAAGGTACAGAAAGTTGATCAAAGAGGACCAGGTAGGGATAGTGGACTAGAGATTAAGGGAAGTTAAGAAGCAGATTAGGTGAGGGTTTACAGATAGAGGAACTGGAAAGATATACTATGTTCATAGAGTAGCATTTCTGGGATTAGGAAGATTTGAGAAGTAGAGAAATCGCAAATGATCACAAAATCCAGGGTGTAGACATAACAATGAGTTGCTGGAGGGGGAACTGAATGACTGAAGAGGCCAAAGAACTGTATCTGTAGGAGTCAGAGTAATTCAAGACAATGGCAGGGGTTAGGAAGAAGAAAGAAAAAAATGCCATCCCTCTGATAAGGTACTCAATGAATGAAATCCTAAAAGTCCTAAAGATAAGATCAATGAGGATGGAAGAAAAGTGTTATCATTTCAAAGAACAATTTGGAAACTTCAAAAGGTAGTTCCCTCTCTGAATTAATATTTGTGAGCCATTATATGTAAAGACATCCGATTTTATTTATGTAAAACTTGCCATGAATAGCTTTACTTTGAACCCACATTTATTCTGGATCTTTCATTCTTTAGAAATTTACCCAGAACCTCACACTTTGGCTCTATCTCCAAGACTCCAAGACCTGTCCTCATCCCTCTTATGTGACTGAACCTGCTGATTTTTATTTTAACCTCAGATCCTTCTAATGTAGCTTACACCTCCTTTTTTGGCTCTTCCTATTTCTCGTCAATTTAGGCAAACATTCCAACCCACCTTTTAACCAAGGAATCCAATTCCAGGCTAGCCAGACCTACTGCAGAGTGATAGGTGGAAGAACATTACTCTGGAAGCAAGACTTGGTCCTGGATAACACTGAGGTGGGGAGTGAGACGCTAGAAAATGGGAGAGACAGAATGGCATGAAGGTCAGCCTTGAACTTAAGAACACTGAAGGGTGGATGAAGTGGTGTAATGAAGGGAATCAGGTTTCACTTAAAGAAAGAAAGTTAGGTGAGAAAGCTGAGAAAGTCTTGGTCATTTAGCAGGGCTTTGGTGATAATCCCAGGAAGTAATAGCAAGCAGGATCAGTAGAAGAAAAATGGGTAAGAGATTGTCACAAAATGTCATTGATGGGCATGAGTGTTCCAATGAGGAGAGTGGATTGGAGACAATATTTTTCTCTTGGTAAGTAAGTGTGCTCACACCTTTTCAAGGGACAGAAAATCTAAAGAGTAGAGGTTGCCAGGAGTGAAATAAATGAACCCTAGAGATCCAATTGGGGAATTTGTGGAATGTCACTTTAATAAAACATATGTATAGAGAAGGCAGTCTGTGTAATAACTGGCTGTAATTTTATCAAAATCCTGACAGTACTTTCTATTTAACATTCATTGTACTGTGTGCTTTCTATACTCATTCAGAGTGATTTAGCCTTCGTAGAAAAGAGTAGTAATGCTCTTAGACTACCAAGGTATTATTTCTATGGTAGTATGAAACATACCATAATAATGTAGAGCATCATGGACTGCGCATGTATGTATGTATACATATATATTTACGCATATACACACATGGGAACTTCAAAAAGTTTGTGGAAAAATTGAACTAAAAGATAATACAAATCATTCCATGAACTTTTTGAAGACCTCTCATATATATATAATAAGAACAAAAATTATTTTAATAAATTACTTAAATATTCTTTCTGAAGTTGTTAAAATCAAATCGAATTTTAAAAGAAAGAATGAACTAGTCTGAGCCCTTTTCCAGTAACTACCTTGTCACAGTGTCCACATCATAGTAGCCAAAAGGCAGGCAGCAGGGCAATAAGTTTAATGGAGCCCAGTCATCTCAAACTCTTGAGTAATAAGCAATTATATTTACACACACACACACACACACATACTGAGTAACTGATTTTACTGATTTTACTGTACATCTTGAGCTCAGCACACAATGCTAGTTGCTTGTGGATAGGAACACCAAAGAATTCATAGATATAGTCCAAACTCCAGATGAGCTCATAATCTGACCAAACACACACACACACATGCACACACACACACATACACACACCCCATATAAATGGAATTGGCATTATAGCACATCATCAAAAATATACCAATGAACACAAATGAATGAAGGCAGATCTCCACAGATATGCAGGAAATATGAAGTAAAATATTAAAGACAGTGTAACTTCAAAAAGTGATTAATTTACTTACAGAATGTATTTTACACACTGAAAAAAATCATCATATCGAGTTATATAAAGATATGTTTCTCATCTGCCAGTCTTCAAACTAAAATTAGAAAGGCAAGATAAATATAAATGGATGTAATAAACTGATAAATAAATAAGCAATAAATTCAGGGGCCATGTAGAACAAAGCATATATATGTATGCTAGCTAACCTAACCCTTATATGTGTGTATGTGTGTGTGTGTGTATGTGTGTGCGCACACACATATTTTCTCTTACAGATATCTCTTTACCTTCTTTCTCCACATCCATTGCAAGCTTTTTTTTAGCCAAAAATGATTTTATCTCATTCAATATTCCCATACCCTAGTGTGTGTGTGTGCGCACACACATATTTTCTCTTACAGATATCTCTTTATCTTCTTTCTCCACTTCCATTGCAAGCTTTTTTTTAGCCAAAAATGATTTTATCTCATTCAATATTCCCATACCCTAGTACAGGGCACATATATCAACACAGAGCACCCCATTCTAGGAAATACTCCATGATTGCCATTATGTTCAATAAATGAAGCTATCAAAGAATCAAAAATGCATCGATAAAAGGACACATTTTACAGAAAATAGTACTTTGAGGTTGTAAAAAAATACTGTTAGTAAAGAAAAAGTAATAGCATATGTAAAGAAATGAAATACTTAATTATTAATTCTTATGAAGATTTACCTTCCAGTCTGAGGATCAAATCCAAAGTAATGATCTTTACATCGGTCACAACCTTGCCCAGCAGTGGAAGCATCTTGGCAAGTGCACTGACCTGTTAGGCTATTACAGACGTGACTAACTGCACCAGTTGTATGGCATGAACATGGCAGGCAGCCAGTGGCATTGCCAGGAGAAATATAAAAACCTGGAAACAAAGAAATTACAAGTTTTATATATGCTTTTTATCCAGTCTTCTCTTAAAAAGATAATATTTTGATTACATAGAAAAACAGAACACTTTATCAAGGCACTGCCTACTTCCCATTACAAATGTGCTTATAGCTGTTCTTAACTAATGTGTCAATTACACCCAAAGACAGACTGAGGAAGTAGCTTACACTGCACTTGGTTGTCTCCCAGACACCTAAAATTCAGTGTATTTAAAACCTACTGCATGACCTTTCCACTAAACATTGGTTCTCCTCTAATATCCATTTCAGCAAACAGCACCACCATCTATTCAGTTGCTTAACCTATAACCCAGCTACAGCTGAATTTCTGATAAACAGTGCTCTTTTTAGTAAAAGTGTGTCCCGTGCAATGTTTGCTTATACTAAAAACAATTATCTGAAATTTAGATTTAAGTGAAAGTCCTCATTTTTTTGCTAAAACCAGCAACCCTTGAGTCCTCCTTCCCTCACCTCCTACATTTTGCTGGTTACCAGGTCCTGTGGACATTTGCTTCCTAGGATATTGAAACTTTCTGCTCTCCATCCCTACCTCCACCTCCCCCCTAGTTAAAGTCACCACCAACTTTTTCATAGCTAACACTATGTACCAGATGCTGCAAGAGGGGATTTTTACTTATTGCATCACTTAGTTCTCATACAGCAACATGAATAATGCAGGTATTTTTATGTCCATTATGTAGATTAGAAAACTGGACATTAGAAAAGTTAACAAAGAGTAGAACTCTGGTTCAAACCTAGGTGGCTCAGCTCCAGAGCTCACATCTAATAGCGTTCCTCTTGCCGTCCCCCTCACCCCCCCCCCCACCAATCTCTTCTTCATAGTGTAGCTGAAAACAACCCTTTTCAAAGTACAGTTTAAACATCTCATTCCTCTATTTAAAACTACTGGATGACTTCCTATTCCCCTCAGGAAAAAAATTCAAATCCCTAACACAGCCTTCAATCCTAGTCAGGTCCCACCTACCTTTCTAGCTCCAGCTCACCACTCATTCCCAGCTCAGTCCACTCCAGCCGCTTCTTCCTGTTCTTGAGACCTAAAGGCCTTTTTGCTGGCTGTTGTGTCTGCTGCAATGGTTTTGACCCACCTCTCTGCTTAGCTCACTCCTGTACTCTGCAACTTCCTTGAGTAACTTTCCCTGGGCCAGTTTAAGTCTGCCTGTTACAGATTCACAGCTTCCTGTCTATTTTCTTGAGTGCTCTTGAAAATTATAATCAATCTCATTTCGCCCAGATCATCACCTCCATGAGGGCAGGAATTTCATTTGCTTAATTCATCATTGTCTCCCCAGTACCCAGGACAGTGCTTGGCACATATTAGGCACTTCATAAACATCTGATGAATTAATAAACATGAGCCACATTATTAAATATGCAGTGAGTCCCACAAGTGAGATACCAAGAAAAGCCACATAAATCACATAACAAAGATTTTAGATTAATTCTAAAACTGATATTTCTTTCTTATAGCCAAAAAGTAATACAAATATGATTAAAAATATATATTCGAGTTACTTAAAATTTATTTAACCTAGAAGGTGGAAGTCAGCATATGAGGGAGGAATGCTTCTTGGTGTTGTGTGACATGTGTGTGGGCGTGTGTGTACATGCAATGTACATATATCTGCATATACACACATACACACACAAGCACATGCAAAGTCCTACAAGGAATTTTATTAAAACAAGGGGAGAGAGGGATCATGGAAAGATCCTAATAAAGTTATGGTGAATGAAAATGAATTGTACAATTGTCATGATTGCTAATTTAAGGTATATTAAATATCAGTGACATTGAAAGAGAGAAAAAAGGCAAAATGAATCCATTCTGTATTATCTATGTCATCTATTCTAAAAAAAATAAAAAGTAACTAGGATACTTTAAAACTCACTTGAGGCTCTAGTTGAAAACAGCCATTCTTTCATAGTCACCAACAATTAGCTTGTTTTCCTTTTCCTAGGCCCTGTGTATTCTCTCTTAGAAAGCTTCAAGAGCAGTAAAAGAGAAAACATTGTGCTCAGTGAGAGGCAAAGGAAGGAGCTCAAAACTTGTGCCATTCAATTGAAAGGAATTGACAAATACTGTCATTTTTTACAGTAATTTACAGATAGACTATGCCATTTGCTTCTTTGCATCCCCTGATAGCAACTTGCCTTATATTTATTTCCAGAAATAGGGTACGGCCATACTTATTAATATATATTCTCGTATCTGATTCACCATGTGAAAAAGTCACAAATTTAGAAGGCCTCTATTTTGGATTAAGACCACTGTGGTTGTAATTCTTTATATTTTTCTTCCAGTGAAAGTACCTAGGTCTTTGAATTCATGATGATGGCTTCATGAGTGTACTCACAGCTCTCCAATTTGGATAAATTACCCATTAGCACAGATACTTAGAAAGTAGAATTAATTCGGACTTATTGTGATAGCTTGGAGCCATAGAGAATTCTGTAACAATTAAGGATTATTTTCACAAGAAATGACTTATTAGATAACTCTGTAAATAGAAGGGGACACATTTTGGTGCAGAAGATTGGGTAGTCCAAGTTTTAGAAAGTAAAGAATGCCATAGACAAATCAGAAATACAAGCAGAGAAACACAAAAAAGGTGTTACAACACCGAGGGAAGCTGAAAGTAGAGGCAGGGCTTTCAGGAAAAGACCACATTGGGATTCGCCTCGGGGTTAATGCCCCTCCTCCTCTTAGGAGCATAATTATAAAGGTTAATCCCACCAGTATTTAAGATGTCCTATTTTTAAGCAGTTCTAATTAAGATGACTCAGGTAACTTCCTGCTCAAAGATTAAGTCTTGCCTTACCTGAATGTGCCTAATTCTAGACCATTACCTCTCCTTTTATTACTTACAACTATAGGAAACAGCATTTTCCCTTCACTCCTGCTTAAACTTCAGCTCCTGAGTGTAGCTTAAAGATAACTGACCTTAATTTCTTTTAACTCAATACATTTCTGATCTCCCTCCATTAGCTCCACTTCATGTTTTACATCTTCATATCTGTATCATTTAAACTGATCTTTTTGAGATTTCTTTCCATGAGTGGTTTTGTACCACATTCTTAAGCAAGGTCATTGGGACAATGTTATTACCTTGCATTATGTAGTGCCGAGAGTTCACATTGTATAGCACATATCAGCCCTCTAAAGTTTATTATTTTCTACAGTTTTATTTCAGCTAACCAACATCCCAAAAGAGAAAGTCTCAAGTGGGAAACAATGTACCATCCAGCTAAAGCCAAGAATCACCCATATCATAAAACCATGTTGCTTTACCTGGGAAAAGGCTTACAGAATTCATAGAGTTCAAAGTTATTAACAAGGCAACTAGTATTATCTCCTGTAGTGGCTATTTGCACAGCAAAGTACCTGTCCTGGGCATAAAAGAAGAGCCCATTTTCTAGCAATGCCCCTCCTGAGGACCATGAACAACTAAGCTTTACTAAGGTCTTCAAATGGGAAAGAGAAAACAAGTTTAACCTCTAGGCTTTTTTCAGAAAAGGAGGGCAATGCTGAGGCTAAGCACTAATTAAAGCCATTTAGATTAAACTCACTCACCTCAAGGCAGAAAATGGACATAATAGTATGAGAAGAGGCTAGGGATTAATTTGTGGCTCACCTATACCATGCAACAAAAGACTATCTTAGTAATGGTTTTACAAATTTTCAGAATGAAGTGTAGTTGATAATGGTAATTTCCAAATTAAAACAATAATTTCCTCCATTCAGTGGTTTTACATAAAAATAATGCTTAAATTATTATTCATAGAATTAAGCAAATGTCAGTAAATTAATACATAAATATTAATATTATTCATCCCAAGGTATAATTTCTTTTGTTTAAAAAAATTTTAAAGAAAGCCCATCTACAATAGCTAGAAAAAGAATAAACTACCTGGAATTGATTTAACCAAGGAGGTGAAAGGTCTCTACAACAAGAACTACAAATCAGTGTTGAAAAAAATTAAAGAGGATATAAAAAAATGGAAAGATAACCTGTGCTCCTGGATTGGAAGAATTAACATCAACATAAAATGTCAACAGTACCCAAAGTGACCTATATATTCAATGCAATCCCCATCAAAATACCAATGAAAATCTTCACAGAAATAGAAAAAACAGTCCTAACATTCATATGGAACAACAAAAGACACTGAATAGCTAAAGTAATCCTGAGCAAAAAAACATGAAGCATTACACTACTTGACTTCAAATTATACTACAAAGATATATTAATTAAAAGAGCATGGTACTGGCATAAAAACAGATATTCAGACCAATGGAACAGAATAGAGAACCCAGAAATCAACTCATATGCTTACAGTCAACTGATCTTCGACAGAGGCACAAAGAACAAACACTGGGGAAAGGACTGCTTCAGTAAATGGTGCTGGGAAAACTGGATATCCATGTACAGAAGAATGAAACTAGACCCATACCTCTTGCCATATACCAAAATAAACTCAAAATGAATTAGAGACTTATGTATAAGACATGAAACTATAAAACTCCTGGAAGAAAACATAGGGAAACACTTGTGGGACTGGACAAAGACTTTATGAATAAGACTTCAAGAACACAAACAACAAAAGAAAAAATAAATAAATGAGATTATATCAAACTAAAAAACTTCTGTGCAGCAAAGGAAACAATCAACAGAGTGAAAAGACAACCTACAGAGTGGGCGAAAATATTTGCAAACTATGCATTGACAAGGTATTAATATCCAGAATATACAAGGAACTCAAAAAAGACAGTAAACAAATGAAAAACCAAATAATCCAATTAAAAAATGGGCAAAGGAGGTAAACAGACATTTTTCAAAGGAAGACACACAAATGGGCAACAGTCATGAAAAAATGCCCCACATCACTAAGCATCTCAGAAATGCAAATTAAAACCACATTGAGATATCATCTCACCCCAGTCAGGCTGGCTATT